TCATTAGAGTGTTATTATGTTTACAATTGAAAATTGGAATTTACATACTTCGCCCAATGATAATTCAATGCGTTATCCTTGCTAATCAGGTTTTCGATGACACGAAAATCGCAAGCTGATATTCTGTTTGTAAAATGAGTAAATGACACTAGTGTTTTGAGGGTATATATTGAGATATGGGGAAGCAGCAGCGAAATGTATGCATACATTCTCTTAAATCAATTAGTGAATACGCTGGCTGGCAAGAGCGAGTGAAAAAATAAACTTGAAGGTAGCAGCTGTGAGCATGATGAGTTCAGTTTATGTGATTAATAGAAGGAATAATGTGGGTTTATGGTACCCAAGTGATTTGGTGTTCGCTTCGACTGAAATGAATTGCTTGCAGGAGAGGTGAACTTTCGAAGGGAATGTTTGGATGCGCATAACTACGTACGCGCTCAGTACGGTTGTCCACCGCTCATCTGGTCACAAGAACTATCCGATCTCGCTCATACTTGGGCTGTTAAACTTGCCGAAAGAGGACGGATACTCTATCCCGAATTACCCGGTAATTAAAGCAGTCTTGTGATGATGATGTGTTGAGATTGCGGTTCCTTGATAGTTTCATGCATTGGCAATTTTCATGTTTTAACCGAAATAAAACAATCGTACTTTCAGGTATAGGCGAAAATATTCAATTATCAACGGCTGACGACCACTCGCACTTGCCATCCGGTGCTGAGATCACGGAACTGTGGGCGAAGGAAGCCGAAGATTTCGACTTCGAAAGACCTCGATGGCAGCCGAGTGAGTAGCGATTATTGAATAACCTCGTAGAATACGCAATGAACTTATCTCTTATTTGTACTATTTGTACAGCTGTATTATTTGAAGCAGTGTTTTTGTTCCAGGAACTCAGCATTTCTCTCAAATGGTTTGGAAAGAAACGTTTGAGGTAGGTATAGCTCGATATTGGAACACACCGAAAAATTGTATCGCTGTCGTTGCCTTTTATCGGCCTGCCGGAAATTCGAATGCGCCAGGTATG